GACTTTGTGGGAAATGTTCAACCCATAGTTGAGAAGATGTGAAGTGTCCAATGTCATGGAACAGCTTCTTGCTCCAGAGGTCAGACCCAGGAGCTCAAGGTGGGGCTGGCCCAGAACTGGTCCACTGGGCATGGGCTGCCTCATGGAGCAGTGAGCCATGGGCAGAGGGGGCCCTGCTGGGGGTGCTCAAGAGGGGAACATGGCTTCAGCTGGAAACCAGGATTGATGTTGTTACTCCATTCCATGTGAGATGTCCTTGGATCCTCCTAACAGTCGATGAGGTCAGGATCATCTTTCCCTTTTAGAGATGAAGGACTGAGGCTCAGAGAAGCCAAGTAATTCACCTAAGGCCACACAGCAAGCAAGAAGCAGAGCCAGGACTCAGCCTAAGTCTGAGCTCCTGCCACTTCTCTAGGGACCTCTGCTCCACCTGACTGCACTGGAAGGTTATGGGTGGTTCTGGGGCAGGGCTTGCTGGGGGTGGATTTAAGGCTCAATGACTCCAATGGCCCAGGGGGACCACGATCCAGGCACTTACCCAGGAACACAGGCTGCCCAGGGCGCCAGGCTCAGCCTCTCTGGGAGGACATTTGTGCCCAGACTGAGGTGGGATCCCCTTGGTCCATGCGGTCACCGCCAGAGGGCGCAGCTGTTGTCCAGGTGAGGGCAAGGGGAGGCCCCCGCCCCCCCATCCCAGTTTCCAGAGAAAGCAAGCAGGCTCCCCCTCATGGAGTCGGGGAGCTCCTGTCACCTCTCATCTCAACCTGAGGTCTTGCTGACCCTTCCCCAGGGATGTCGGATTTGCTCAGGGAGTCAGATTTCCTCCGCGTGGGTGTCTGAAGCCTGGAGTCTCCTTGCTGACCCTGTGCCTGCCTGGTCTGCTGCATCCTCCTCCAAGTGCCACTCCCAGATGTGCTTGTCTTGCCTCCCTCTGCCTTCTCCTTGCACGGCCCTGGTGCCGGGGTGGTGCCAAGCACCAGGTTGCCACCTCTGTCACCTCTCTCAGCTTCTTCACAACCCTGAGGGGGTGAGGTGGGGTGGGGGAAGGAGTGCCAGCTAGACCACGGGGGTCACCGACAGGGCCCAGAAAAGGGGAGGGCAGCACCCTGGACCACACAGCCTGCCCAGGGCCCCAGTGGGCGGCAGGGGAGGGAGGAACTGAATTCCTGTCTGGGCAGGACTGAGAGAGGGTGGGGGCCCCAGAGGGAGCTGCCCTGGTCCTTCCACTCTAGCCCACCTCCTCCATTTCCCCAGGGTCATCTCCCGCCAGGCCCCCAGTCGATGGGAGCTCCTCCCCCCAACCCCCTACTTGCTCAGCCAGGTTTTGGCTCGGATCCTACCACACTCCCTCCCCGACCCCAGGGCCCTCCCGCTGCCTCCCTCCCTCCCCAAGTTTAGCCCCTTGGCTGTGGCCACTGAGGGCCTGGCTAGGGTCCCAGGAACCACACCACAGCGGCCAGGCTCGCTGGGCAGGAGCTCCGGACAGTCCCAGTCTGTCTGGCAGGACTGGCGGGCTCGGGATTGGCTGGAGCTGCCCCCGCCTGTGGGAGGAGGGAGCTGCAAGGGGAGGCCGCGTGGCTTGCCCAAGGTCACCCTCCTTTTTCCCTCCCAGCATCCCTGTTCAACCTTTGTCCTCTCGGCCTCACCTTGAGGAAGGAGGAAACAAGAAACCCAGTAGGCAGAGCGCAGAGAAGCCCGATGAAGGCAAAGGGCTCCTGACACACTTATTCATTCAGTAAACACTGAGTACCTACTGTATGCCAGGCCCCCAAAGCACAGCAGCAAACAGAGCCCCTGCCCTCAAGGGGTCACAGCCCAGCCAGAGACAGGCAAGGAAACCACCACAGGCATCATATAGACTTGTGTCTCTGAGCTGTGTGTGTGGCAAGGGCGCAGAGTGGGACTCGGCCTGGCTAGGGCCGGCTTCCCTGGGGACCGGAGAGGTGAGGAGCCTTTTCTGGCCCAGGCAAGGGATGCAGCTTCTGGCGGAGGCCTGTGTAGGGGCTGTGCAAGGCCTCAGTTTCCTCATCTGGAACAATGTAGGAAATAAATGTGCCCTGATCACGCTTGCTTCCAGGCGGCCTGCGTCCTGCGTCCTGGCCTGCAGCCCTCGAAAAGAAGGCGCTGTCACTTCCACTGGAAGGGTGAGCCCGAGCTCATCAGAGAAAATGGTGGGGAGGGCATTCCCGGGAGCCCCCTGGCTCACACCAAGCTCGGAGGTAGCTCGCGGAGGTGAGGGCCCCGGGTTCTCAGCCGCGCTGCCCAGCTTCCTTGGCCCCTTCCGCTGCCTCAGGCTGCAGGAGAGGAGGGGCTGGTCCCCGGGCTGCCTCTCCTTCCCTCCCCTCCCACACCCCCATGCTCCTGGCCACGTGGCACCTCTGTGCCCCAGGCCTGGGGGAGGACGATCTCTGACCTGGGGACAAGTGGAGCCAGGGAAAGGTGGGTGGGATCTGGGATACCGCGGAGCCCGGATCCGGTGGCGAGCCCCGCCCCGCAGCCCCGGGGGTGCTGTCTCTTTAAGAGCCTTCAGGCTGCTGGGAGCAGATGGCCAGGCCGGCCGGGGCCCCTTGTCCTTTGTGTGGCTTCGCACAAAAGAGGGGGCCAGCTGGGGAGGGGGCGGCTGTAGCAGGTGGGAGGGGTGGGGCCTTGCCCCTCCCCCTCCTAACCTTGCACCCTTGCCCCTCGATGAGGGGGTTGTTCGCTAGGAATGCGCCTTCCCTCTAGACCCTGTGGCCCCCACAGTCGCCCCAAAACTCCTAGGACACACTTCCTGTGTCGTGGCCCACCTCCTAGGCAGAAGCCTCATTGCATCCGGGCCTAGGGACTCTCCCAGCCCCCGCCCCAAGGAATAAACCTCCCCTCCCTGTCCCCACCTCCAGAGCAGAGTCTTCCTTTGGCCCAGAGTGCCTGGCTCTAGATAGAAATAAAGAGAATGAGGTTCTTAGGGGGTGGGGGAGAGGGATGCTGGGGCCGGAGGGAATCCAGTGACTGGGGATCCCTGCTAGAGAGACTGGGGGTACCTGGGGCAGCCCTGGAGTAGGGAGGCAAGAAATAAGCAGGATGCTGAGCCTGCGGGTGGGGGTGAGGAGGCCGGGCCCGGGTCCCCAGGTTCGGGTCTGGAAAGGAGGCAAGGGGGGATGGGGGGTTCAACTGAGGCCCTGCCTAATAGGGGGCGGGGGCAAGATAGAAGACAGCATGGTAGGAGAGGCTGGTGTGCAGCAATGGTTGCCCGCCAGGCAGGAGGGGAGAGAGATGAGAGCCTCTCCAAAGGGTGGAGGTGCTGGGGACAGGGATGGCGCCCTGCCACTCAGGAGGGGTCGGCCTGAGAAGACTCTTAGTCTTGGAGCAGACCTCCTTAGCTCAGACCGGCCCCTGGTCCATTCATTCTCCTCCTTTGTCCAGACCTCCCCACCCTGGGGCTTGGTGCCCAATCCATGATTTAAGAGGAGGATAGAGGCCCCGTAGCCCTGGCCCGAGGTGTGGCGGGCAACGTGGCCGCTGGCTGGGTGGCCCCATGTCGCTGGACAGCGCAGCAGCCGGGTGGGGTTGAGCCTAGCTTTCCCTGGTTGTCCGCAGGAGCCCCCAGGAACAAGCGGCCCCAGCCGGGTCATGGCCCGACCGCAAGACCCCGGCCGCTCGGCCGCAGGCAGCGGGTGGGGGCAGGGATCCCTGGCTGGGCCCTGGGCTGCTTCTAAATTTAGGAATCTGATTACAGAGTGGCCGAGGAAGGGAAGGGAGAGAAGGGCGCGAGTGCGGGCTCGGCTCAGTCTGGGCACAGCGGGGTGTGCCCGGGTGGAGGTGTGTCCAGGAGACTGGGGCTCCGGGTGGGAGGGGCGGCGGGCGGGGGCTTCAGCTTGTGTGCGCGGCAGCACGTGCCCCGGGCGGCGGGGACGGGCACGGGCGCAGCTCGCAGGCTCGGAGCCGCCGCCGGTGTGTGCGCTGGCTCTTTGTGTGCCTGGCAGGGTGGCTGGGTCTGGCTTTGAAAGTCTCTGCCCACCCCCTCCCCCATCTCCGTCTGTGCCGCTCTACCCGCTTCCCTGTCTGTCACTCTGCCCATGCTTGTCCGGGGGGAGGGGGTGCTGCTTCCAGCTGGGGTGACAGTAAACCCAGTGGGGAGGAGACCCAGTTCCTCTATCCCCTGCAGCCCAGACCTTCCCCTACACCTCCCACTCCCCATCCCTCAGCCCTTGCTACCACTGTTTAGGGGTGCACACTGCAGCAGTTAAAGGGAACTGGGGCAACCCTTGGGGACCCACAGATCCACCAGAAGCCAGGCTCTGGCTGGGTAGCACTTGGAGGAACTCATTCCTTGCCTGTCCAGCCTCCCATCCGTTCTGGCCCCCAAGGGCGCATGAAGGGGGGTCCCCCCTGCGGAAGGGGGGGCGGGGAGTTCCTTGGCAGGAAGGGAAATGGAAGGAAAAGCTGGGCTCCACCCGGGCGGGCGGGCAGGCGGCCCCAGGGCCCCCGGGGCAGGCGGCAGTAACCCGAGCCCACTGGTGTGTGGTGCTGGTGTACGCGTGGGTGGGGCTGACCCCTGGCTACTCCTGGGGGGCAGTGGGGTCTCCCCCAGGGGCAAGTCTGGGAGCCCAGGGACGCGAGGGGGGCCCCCGCAGCGGGACGCGTGCCCCACCAGGGTCCTGATCCCACCCCCTGGAGGTCTGGCCCTGGCCCCCAGGCCCCGCCCCCCGGGCCCTCCCTCCCACCCCAGGGCCAGATGTTCAGCTGGCGGAGGCATCGGCTGGGGGAGGGGTGCTGAGGCCGCAGCCGGCACTACTTCCCTGCCAGCAGCTTCATTGTGTGCGCGAGGAGCGAGCGGCGGCGGAGAGCGGGCGAGCGAGCGGCAGCCCGAGCGCGGCGGGGAGAGCGAGCGCGTCGGGGAGGGTGCGAGGCGGCGCCCGCGGCTGCGCTCCGCCCGCCTCCCGGCAACTCTGCCCAGCGCCGCGCGCCGTGCGCGCCGTCCCGCCGCCGCCGCCGCCGCCGGGGCCCCGGCGAGCTGCCGTCGCGGGCAGGGGTCTGCTTGGGACACGGGTCCCCGCCCGGGGACTGGGGCATCCCCGGCGCAGCCGAGAGCCGCAGAACCCTGGGGGCGCAGATTGCACTGCAGCGCCCGGCCGCTGAACGGCGTGGGCAGGTGGGCGGTGGGGTTCCAGGGCGCCCGGAGGATCGGGGACCCCGACTTAAGGGGAACCCCAACCCTGAAGGGCGTACATAGCAATCGCACCCCAGCCGCACCGGACCTTGCGCTCATCCCTTGCGTCCCCCACTTCTGCACAAACTTTTCTGACGCCCTGGCTCGTGGGGGTCGCGGAAAGCGCTGGGGCTGCCCGGTGGGCTCCCACCCCGCCGGACCCTTGCCACGCTGACCTCCTGCCTCTCCTAACCTCAGTGGCGACCTCTCCAGGCCGGGCCGGGCTAGGCACTCGGAGCGAGTGCAGCAACCACTGTCGCTCTCCGAAGGCTCCCGCGCCCCCCCCGCCCCGGGGCAGCTGGGCGGGGTAATGCCCTCGGTGATGGAGAAGCCCAGCGCGGGCTCCGGGATCCTGTCCCGCAGCCGGGCCAAGACGGTGCCCAACGGCGGACAGCCCCACTCGGAGGATGACAGCAGCGAGGAGGAGCACTCGCACGGTGAGCCCGGTGGCCTAGGGTTAAAGGCGCGCCGGCCTTGGGGGAGCGGAGTGGGGCGGGAGGGGGAAGAGTTGCAGACCACGAGTCTATTACACTGATGGCTCCTGCCTCTCCTGGATTGGAGCCTCTGCTTTGCTTCTCCCCCAAGCCCAGGCTGCCGGCACAGCCAATCTGGAACCTGGGCCCCTAGCTGCTGTGGAGGCGTCCTGTCGGCCCCTCCCCTGCCCTCAGCTCCTCAGGGACCGAGGCATCCCTCCCTTGCTTAGAGTGGATCTCTCATACCTTGCCATCTTGCAGGGGACTGAGGTCTGGCTGGAGCAGGGGCTGGGGAGACACCTCCACACAGAGCTGTGAGGCTCCTGTGGTGGGGAGGAGCCTTGGGTTCCTTGCAGGGCTGTGGTCCAGGTCTAGGGGCTGCCCTCCAACCCGGCTCCCCTCCCCCCAGCCGGAACAAAGCACTATGCTTGGCCTGGGCTCTAAAACCGTCCCCTTGTCCACTCTCCAGCCCCAGTGGCCATGGCTGGACAGGGTCTTTTCCTCTTCCAGTCCCTTCTGTGGCTGCAGGTAACTGAGGGGGACAATCAGGGAAAAGTGAGCCTCCTTGGAAGGTGGGGGCCCTGGGTGGTCAGGAAGAACTCCAGGCCAGCCACCTCCCCCGCCACATCCTCTCTCCCGTCCGCCCTCCCTGGAGTCCTGACTACCTCCCCCTGGCTCCACAGACAGCATGATCCGCGTTGGAACCAATTACCAGGCCGTAATTCCGGAGTGCAAGCCTGGTGAGTGGCAGGACAGGCTGTGAAGTGGGGTGGGGGTGGAGGCTCCGGGCTTAGCCTGCAGCCCCACCTGGGGTGCCCTTGGCTGGCTCCCCCTGGGAGGACAGGCTGGCAGAGGTGGGTGGCCCTGTGGCATGGTTAGCTTTCCTGCCCTGCCTTCTTGTCTGGGTCTCTGCCCCTCCTTCCCTTCTGGGCCTCAACCTCCCTGGCTCCACTCCTCTGCTGCCCTCTGGCCATGGGTCCAGCCAGGCTTGTGCCACCAGGCTGATCTGAGTGTCTTCCCTCCTGCTCCTCGGCCTTTCAGAGAGCCCTGCACGCTACAGCAACAAGGAGCTGAAGGGGATGCTGGTGTGGTCACCCAACCACTGTGTGTCAGATGCCAAGCGTGAGTGGGGCACAGCCCTGGGAGGTGGGGGCTTGGGTTCATCCCAGCTCCAGGCCAGCTCTTCTCAGAAGGGGGCTGGAGGCTGAGGTGTGTGTGGGTCCAACCCTTGCCCTGGGGCTCGTGTTCAGGGGCCTGGCCGCTGGGGGGTGGTCCCTTTCTGGACAGGCCTGGGTTAAGAGCTATAACCCCCTTCACCAAGACCCTGCCCCTCCTGCCCCTGCAGTTGACAAGTACATTGCAATGGCCAAGGAGAAGCATGGCTACAACATTGAGCAGGTGAGCCTTGGCCCCTAGGGACTTGGGAATGGGGTGGAATGGTGCTGGGGGCAGCTAAGCCTGAGCTGCCCCTTGCCCCGGGCCAGGCGCTGGGCATGCTCCTGTGGCATAAGCACGATGTAGAGAAGTCGCTGGCTGACCTGGCCAACTTCACCCCATTCCCTGACGAGTGGACAGTAGAGGACAAGGTGCTGTTTGAACAGGCCTTTGGCTTCCACGGCAAGTGCTTCCAGCGTATCCAGCAGATGGTAAAGCCCTTCCACCCCCACTCCCTGGCGCTCCTCTGCCCCTCCTTTCTGAAGAGCTTACGTGGGGCCCAGAGTCTTGAGTGGGCCCCAGCTTCTGGCGTTGCCTCCTCCAGCTGCCCGACAAGTTGATTCCCAGCCTGGTGAAATATTACTACTCTTGGAAGAAGACCCGCAGCCGAACTAGCGTGATGGACAGACAGGCCCGGCGGCTGGGGGGCCGCAAGGACAAAGAAGACAGGTGGGGGCAGGAGCAGGCACTGGGCATGGGGGTAGGTAGAGCTCCTGGCACCTGCCTCATTCCCTCCCTGGCCCCTGTGTCAGCAGTGATGAGCTCGAAGAGGGTCGAGGAGGCGTGAGTGAGGGAGAGCCCGATCCTGGAGACCCTAAGAGAGAGGTGAGCTCCCAGAGACTCTGGGCCCTGCCTGCCTGTCCTCTTGCCTCTCTCAGGCTCTGCACCACCTACCCGCCTCTCCTTTCACTGGCAGCCTCTGCCCTCTCGGCCCCTGAATGCACGCCCAGGCCCTGGAAAAAAGGAGGTCCAGGTATCTCAGTACCGCCACCACCCCTTGCGAACCCGGCGTCGCCCACCCAAGGGCATGTACCTGAGCCCCGAGGGCCTCACGGCGGTGTCAGGAAGCCCGGACCTTGCCAACCTCACGCTCCGAGGTCTTGACTCTCAGCTCATCTCCCTCAAGCGCCAGGTGGGGCCCTGGGAAATGATGGGACTATGCAAAGGGAGCACTCGGCACCTGGGAACTGAAGTCTGGGGGGAGCTGAGGTGTAAGTGAGATGGTTCAGGGGCTGAGCCCCATCCTCTAGGACTCTGGGCAATGCGGTGTTCTTTTTGGGCCTTCTTTTAAAAACTGGTCTGTAGGCTGGGTGCGGTGGCTCACGCCTGTAATCCAGGCACTCTGGGGGACTGAGGCGAGCGGATCACCTGAGGTCCAGGGTTCAAGACCATCCTGGCCAACATGGTGAAACCCCATCTCTACTAAAAATACAAAAATTAGCTGGGCGTGGTGGCACACGCCTGTAATCCCAGCTACTTAGGAGGCTGAGGC